GAGGCCGCCGGCCGGCCTCGGCCCCCGCGGGGACGGTGGGGACGGGGCGCGCTGGGCGTCCCCCGCGGGAGCCGGCTGATGTTTGGCCTCGGGTCTGTCTCCGTGCAGGTGGTGGAGAGCTGCGTGGCGGCGGCGGGGTACAGCGTGGGGGAGTTCGCGGCGCTGGTCTTCGCTGGAGCCCTGGGCTTTGCCGAAGGTGCCCGGGGAACGTGCTGATCCCCCTAGTAGGATCTCCCACCCCCGCCCCGTGCTTTTTCCAAAGCATTGCCCGTTACCGCTGTCCCCCTCCCGCTTTTTTTTATTAGAGGACAGATTTTACTTTCTACTTCCACTGTTCACTTTAATATGCGTAACACGGCATTAAAAGCATTGATGGTTCATGAGAGTGAACAGCCACCCTTTTTTGCGTGCAGATGCGAGGCGCCCGTAACGGTGTTTTCTGGGGGCTGATATTTACCGAGCATCTCTGTTTTTCTCCTTAGCGCTGTATGCGGTGAAAGTGCGCGCCGAAGCCATGCAAAAGGCGTCGGAAGCTGTCCCCAGTGGAATGCTATCGGTTATCGGTCGGCGAGAGGCAAATTACAAATTTGCCTGCTTGGAAGCCCGTAAACACTGTGAATCACTGGGTATAGAAAACCCCGTGTGTCAAATCTCAAACTATTTGTTTCCAGACAGCAGAGTCATTGCAGGACACCTACAGGTATTGCTTCAGAACAACTATCCCTTTAGTTGAATTTAGCATTTCAGTTTTTAAAACTTTTATGTTGTGCTTCTGTGTGGAAGTTATGTATGGCCTTAGTTTGTCCAAACAAAAGTATTTGATCTGGGGGGTGGGGGTTGTCCCACGTGTGCTCAGTTCTTGGATAGGGAAGGGAATCCCTTTATCACGGCAAGTCTGATGAGGTGGTTGTTGTGGGGTGACTGAGTAAACCTTTGTCGTGCGAGACTCTCACTTCTCTCTCTCTTTTATAGGCTTTGGAGTTTTTGCAGGAGAATGCCCGAAAATATTATTTTACACGTACAAAAATGCTTCCAGTCAGTGGGGCTTTTCATACCAGACTTATGGAACCAGCAGTAGAGCCCTTGGCTGAAGTCCTAAAATCAATTGAGATTCAGAAACCACTGGTCTGTGTCTATTCCAATGTTGATGGCAAAAAGTACATGCACTCAAAGCACATTCAGAAGCTGTTAGTGAAGCAGGTGGTTTCACCTGTTTTGTGGGAACAGACCATGCATTCTGTATACGAAAGAAAGCAAGGAGCAGAATTTCCTTACACGTATGAAGTGGGGCCTGGAAAGCAACTAGGAGCCATTCTCAAAAAATGTAATTTAAAGGCCTGGAAACAATATAACCATGTAGATGCTCTGGAAGATGAGGAAGCGGCAGAGACCTAAGTAGCCTTTTGAGAAAAATCCACGCAACTTGTTTTTTCTGCCTAATTTAAAAATACCTTCATGCTCCCAAAAGAGGAAGTCTTAAACATTCACGACTTCTCGTGATGAAAAGAGCACCTTGTGCATAACCGCAATGAACGTTTTCCTTCCCCGTGTGCCTCAGGTGTGGAAGGGCAGAGAGCAAAGTCTGGCTCTTCCATCTGTGTTGGGACTGCAAAACTGCCAATAAACGTGCCAAATAGCCTTCTGTTTGGCCTCAATCCTGCAAGCAACTTCCCCTCTTTTTTTTTTTCTGTTTTTTTTTTCCACTTTGGGTGGGAGCATGAATTCAAGTCAGTAGCTTTGGCTGTCTGGTGCAGGGATCTTCTGCGTGGATACAGGGGTAGAACTAGGCTGTTGGCTCTGGGTTGTGAAGGGCTCTGCGCCAGGCTTGAGGGTGCGTTCAGAGGAGCCATCCAGTTGGTACAGCTTTCGGTATGTTGATGTTCCTGTTTTCTAACTCTGCTGACTTGTGGGATGTTCATCTGTGTAAAATTCTTTTATTTTGTGTCCGTATTGCCAGGTAGCAGCCGGGTAAGGCAAGAAGATGTTATTAGGAACATGATTTTCTTAAGGTTAAACTATAAATAAACTCTAAAGCTTTTCTTGGTGTTTTTAAAGCTGTGGGGTGCATCATTACTGGCCTCTAGTCCACATGTGGATGGAAGTAATTTTCCCTCCAGTTGTCCAGTGCCACATTGGTTGTGCTAAGTTACATAAGAAGTGTTTAACTGAAAGAAAAAGCCTAACAAAATGCCCCACCCCCCAGAGGTGCAGGGCTGTTGTCATCCCTGACCAAGCCTCTGAGGCTGCACAGGCTCAGTTGGCCCTTGGATGACTTTTCTTGATGGAGCAGAAAACAGCAGCACTGGAAACTTTGTGGAAAGATCTTTTCAGGGGTGACAGGGTGAACCCTGTGGTAGCAGAGTGCCAGGGAGGAGGATTTGAATGCTGGTGTTTTGGTTGTCTCTGTATTTTTGACTGTGTTTTGCCAGCTTTTACATTTTCTGAAAGCAGGAGATGCGCTGGAGAGGAGTGGGTTGTCCTGAGCCCTCCTGGAAAGGGCTTCCCAGTTCCCTTGTTGGCACTGACTGTTGCTGGATGGGTGAGGGCTGGTGGCGGGTCCCTGGGCTGGCTGGCTGCGGGGAGAGCACCCGCTGCCTCCAGCACCTTCCTCAGAGCCTGCAGTGCTCAAGGTGACACTCAAAATGGCTTTAGCACCAAATCCATGGGTTTGGATTCTGTGACCAACCTTTGGCTTATTAAAATAGGTCTGGTCGTGTTACAACATTGTGCTGCCTGTGCAAGATACCTGCAGGGTGTGCAGAAAATGTATGCTTGCTTTGTTTGCTCTTTGTCTGTAAGGGGTGCTGAAAGCTTTAGGAAATAAGAGAGAACAGTATTTGCTAGGGGATCATGTACAAACAAGCAGGGAAAGGTTACGTGGTATGTGTTATAGTGTGACCAGAAGCTTCGACTGAACTCTAGCTTTTGGGGGTTTTGGGGGTTTTTTTGGTATTTTAATGGTGTATTTAACAGATATATAGGAAAAATTTAGGATATATTACTTAAATGACCATGCATGTCTTCAGTAGTTTATTATGAAATGCAGAATAAATTCCAGTTACAGTATTCATCATTTCATCAGCAAGGCCTTTGACACTGTCCTGGCATACTCCTTGAGAAGCTGGCGTCTCATGCCTTAGACAAGTGCACTCTCCACTGGGTGAAAAACTGGCTGGATGGACGAGCCCAGAGGGTTGTGGTGAATGGAGTTAAATCCAGTTGGTGGCAGGTCACAAGTGGTGTTCCCCAGGGCTCAGTGTTGGGGATGGTTCTGTTTAATATCTTTATCAACGATCTGGACGAGGGGATCGACTGCACCCTCAGTAAGTTTGCAGATGACACCGAGCTGGGAGGGAATGTTGATCTACTTGAGGGCAAGAAGGCTCTACAGGGGGATCTGGACAGGCTGGATCGATGGGCTGAGCCCAATCGTATGAAGTTCAGCAAGGCTCAGTGCCGGGTCCTGCACTTGGGTCACAACAACCCCACGCAGCGCTACAGGCTTGGGGAAGAGTAGCTGGAAAGCTGCCCGGCAGAAAAAGACCTGGGTGTGCTGGTTGACAGCCGGCTGAGTATGAGTCGGCAGTGTGTCCAGGTGGCCAAGAAGGCCAATCGCATCCTGGCCTGTATCAGAAATAGTGTGGCCAGCAGGAGCAGGGAGGTGGTTGTTCCCCTGTGCTCAGCACTGGTGAGGCTGCACCTCGAGTCCTGTGTTCAGTTTTGGGCCCCTCACCACAAGAAAGACATGGAGGTGCTGGAGCGTGTCCAGAGAAGGGCAACCAAGTTGGTGAGGGGCCTGGAGCACAAGTCTTATGAGGAGCGACTGAGGGAGCTGGGGCTGTTTAGTCTGGAGAAAAGGAGGCTGAGGGGAGACCTTATCACTCTCTACAACTACCTGAAGGGAGGTTGTAGTGAGGTGGGTGCTGGTCTCTTCTATCAAGTAACTAGTGATAGGATGAGAGGAAATGGCCTCAAGTTGCGGCAGGGGGGGGTTTGATTGGGTACAAAGGAAAAATTTCTTTGCTGAAAGGGTTGTCAGGCATTGGAACAGACTGCCCAGGGAAGTGGTTGAGTCACCATCCCTGGAGGTATTCAAAAAGCGAGTAGACGGGGTACTTCAGGACATGGTTTAGTGGGCATGGTTGATGGTTGGACTCGATGATCTTGAAGGTCTTTTCCAACCTAAATGATTCTATGATTCTATAATACCACATTTCTGAAAGGGAAAGTGAGTTTTAAAATACTAGCCTCAATTATGATTGCTTAGTAGAGTGTATAATTAAACAGTTCTTTTGTGAACTGAAATTGGTAGCTGAGCCTACATTTACAGTACAAATTCCACTTCTGGCATGTGTAAACATTAACTATGAGTAAAACACGGAAGAATTTGTCAGCTATTGGACTATTAGAGGCTGCCAGTTAAGGGTTGGGATTGCTGTAAAGAAAAGTATTTTGGTGAAGGCTCCTGTGTTAAAGGTAAGGTGTTAATTATTCAATAAAGCATACCAAAGTCATCACTAGATGGTTAGAATAGCTTAACCAAATCCCATTCATATTATTAAACATTTAATTATGTGCTGTGTTAGAAGTTTCTGACTACATCTCATAAGACCAAGTGTGACGTTAGTGACTTTGAAACCATCTTTTATGATAGTTGGAACTGAGCATGGCAATGTTTGATTTTAGTATAGTGCTTTATAGTTCCTGGACTTTTTTTTTTAATTATTTACCTTTTTTTGTGGAAATTTTGGAGACCTGTTTTCTATTTGTGGTGTTTTTCCAAAAAAACCCCCCCCCCCCCCCCCGCCATTTCACTTTGTTGCACGCTTTGCCTGGAATAAAAGCTCTTTGGGAGAATCCTGCTAAAAATCTCTGTTTGCAAATGCAGAATATTAGATAACCTTTGCACCTTCATCAGATGCAGAGTGCTGAAGGGATGTCTGTATCCTGAGAACATCCATCCCACTCTTGTGGGCCATGTTTAATTAGTGGGTGGAAGGAACTGTAGCCACTGCGCAGGTGTTTGCTTTTCTTCTGTGCAGCATTTGAGCCTAAGCCGAGGTAGCAAGCCGTACGTTGCTGAGGCTGCTCCTCAGCTCCTCAGTGAGCCTTGTGTCTTCAAAACTAGAAGCCAAGCACTATCATACTCTTGTATTGATGTTACAGTTTATATCAGCTAAAAATGGAGGTCTTCATACCTCTGTATTGAGAGCATTCAGGGCTTGCTTTTGTGTAGTGTCTGGCAGCACAGCGTCAGGTTGGTGTATGGCTATAAATGAGCAGAAGGGTGTCTCTTGTTGTAAAACCTGTCTGTGGCTAGGTGGAGAGCAGCATGGGGAGTCATTTAAGACTCCTGGATGTTAGTACTGTTATCTGCATTTCTTCTGTGTGCTTACTCATCTGCCCCTTCTGCTTCTGGAAACTGAATGTTTAAGACATGAAAAGTCAGCGTGGTTCCTTCACCTAGGAACAAGCAGAAACAGGATGTGGAAAAAAAAAAATCAAGTGCCGTAAAGTCTGTCACATGAGGAGGTGTGCAGTTAAAAAAAAACAAAACAGAACAAAAAGGAATTAAATTTGGGTCTCCTGAGTCGCAGCGTGGAGCCTTAACTAAGAGGCTCAGCTCTACAGGTGAGAGGGGAGCCTGGTTATTACTGCTTGCTGTGGTACTCCAGTTTGTGCTAATTCTTGTTGCGGATGCTGTTTACTTTGTGTTTCACTTGCTTCGTTGGTGCAATCGCATTTTATATTCCTTGAGACTGTGTTTTGTTCCATATGTGCTGGATGCTGAACTTCCCCTTTCTTGTGATTCAAAGTGTTATTGATTGCAAGAGTGTGAAAAAGCAGAGTCATCCCACGCAGCTCTCAGATGGAATAGGCAGCGCAGCAGTCTCCCGTTTATCATTGGTCCCCTGTGCATAGATTATTTATCTAGAAATAACTGAAATTATTTTGTAGTGTTAAAGTGATTCAACAGGGAAGAATCAATTTTTTGGCAGCTGGTACTTCCATTACATTTGTTCATTGGACCCTCTTGATGGGAATTCTTAACCCTTCACTAAATAGTAACTTTAACGTATTTTCTATCATACTGCTGTTACAGAGTTAAACAGAGCTGTCAGTTCGCTGATGAAACTTTGGTCTGGTTTTTGGTTACATGGGCAACTCAGCTGGCGAGCTTCTGGCCCGAGTGAGACTAAGGTACCAGATGTGCTAACCATGCTTTTCTAGAAAAAACTTGCCTACCTGCTGCTGAAGGGCAATTTGGCTTGAGGGCATTTCGAAAAAAGGTGACACTAGAATATGTGCTGCTGCTGCTTGAATTTTCGGGGTATGCTGGAGCCATCACCCTCTACCTACCTTCTTTGTGTACTTTCTTTTTGCTTTGCATTTCAAGTCCATCAAAGATATTTCGAAGTCCTTTAATGTGAAATGGTTGAATGAAATGAGGTGAGCCTTTTTTCTTTTTTTTTTTTCTCCCCCCCCCAGAAGAATTTTTTGAGATGGGCAGTTGGATCATAATGGGATTGGGGCACCATTCATGAAAGAGAGGGAACACATTCCTCAACCCGCTTGAACTTGACAGGGTTTGGCATTTGTCTCCACTGAAGAAAAGAGTGGTTCAA